GCAGAGCTTTCGCGCTTGGTAGCTCCGGGATGGGGATGCGACGCAGCCCGCCCCGGGTTGGCTATATGGGGCGCAGCCGGGTGCCGCGGCCGCGAGGGGAACTTGGGGTGGGACGGCTGTCCAGACTGGTCGGTGAACTCGCCAGAACCCGCCGTGAGTGCGCAGGCCAGGGCCGGGCTGCAGAGGGTGCTGGCTCGGCTGGGGCGGCCCAGAGGGCCAGCCTGGGCTGGGGTGCTGGCAGGGACTCCCCAGGCCTGCCATGAGCCAGGAGGGTGAAGGAGCCTGGGGCTTGGGTTGTTTTCGGGAACCCCTCTGTGGGGGCACCTGCGTGCAGCAACGAGGGAGCTGGGCTGGCAGCGGCAGGCAGGAGCAGGTGGGTCCCTTGGGGCTGGGGCAGCTGGGGGCAGGTGCCGGGGTGGCGCCCGCTATGGGTTGGGGGAAACCTGAGGTGGGGGAGGTGGGTGCAGGAGTGGCGGGGCTCTTGAGCGGGGGAGGGCAGCCGACACAACAAGCGGGGGGGCGCGCGGGTCCTCACGCCCTTGGCGGCTGGGACCCCGCCAGCAGCGCTCGGGGTCGTCTACACCGAGGGCTGAGCCACCCCAGGGGGTGAGGAAAGTGGGGAGAAGCTGAGTCGGTGCCCGCCCGCATACCCCATCCTGCCCGACTGACTGGGCCCCGAGACACCTGCGTAGACCCCAGCAGCCCCTTCCGCTCAGGGCACTCAGGAAGGGTCCGCAGCCTGGGGAGCGGGGCTGCCCCTCCAGGGCAGGCCCCCGCTGCGAGCCCAGGCTCCGCCCCCAACTCTCCCCAGGCTCCGCCCCCAACTCTCCCCAGGCTCCGCCCCCAACTCTGGCCTGCCCTCCTGCCTGTGGATTCCCTAGGCCCCAGGGGGTCTCAGCACCCCCAGCACCTGGCTCCAGGGGGCGCCAGCCTTTGGGTCAGGCCTCCTTGCCCAGCAGGAGCTCTGGCCTCACTGCCCCTGCCTGCCCTGTGCTGGGCAGACTGCCCCTTGCCCTCCCAGCTGCCCCACAGGATCAGGCGAGCGGCTGCTCCTGTGGCTTCACGGTGCCCCAGTAGCTGGCAGGCCCTGGGGTGGGCCTTCCTCGGGGGTCTCCCCGGGGGTCTGATTACAGCCCCCCAGGGCTGCCTGATTGTGAAGGTAATTAACTGCTCAGCACCTCAAAATTAGCAAGTGGCTAATTGTGCCTGTAATTGTCAAGTGTACCGGCAATTAACTGTTTTGCTTGTGGATGCAAATTTGTGCCCAAGACAGGGCTTGTGGGGTGGGGGTGGGGGGGCAGAGCTCCACCAGAGTGGGCCCCCACGTACCGCGCAGGGCTTCGCCTGACCTTGCCTCCTTGGGCCTGCTCCATGTCCCTGGCTTTGGGGCCTTGAGGGCTGGGGGGCGACTGGGGGCTGGGCTGAGCCTGTGGGACAGCTCAGAGCCAGGATGGACAGCGGGGGCCAGGGGTTCCCAGGGCCAAGGCCAGACCCCCAGGGCACGGTGGAGCAGCCGGCCCTGCTGCAGGTCTTGGGGGGGTGCCCCGTGCTCGCGGGGCTGTGGGCAAGGAGCTTCAGTCTGGGCTGCTGACCTTAGCTGTGTGGGGGTCACAGAGAAATGTCGGCCCCCCGAGGGCCGTGCAAGCTCCTGCGAGGCCTCTGCGCTGACCCTTGTCTGGCTGTGCCCACCACGGGGGTCTGCGCTGCCAGGGGACCCCCCCCACCCCAGGCAGGGACGCCCTGGGTTCCCGGCCCCCTCCGCAGGCGTTTTCCGGTCGGGTGCTCTGCGGCCGAGGGCCCAGCTGGGGCGCACACCCAGCGCCTGGCGGCGGGGGGCCGGAGCTGTGGG